TTTTTTTTTTTTTCGAAACGATAGAAGTAGATATATTAACTCAAACGAAATATAACATTGTTCAGATACATACATCAAACAGCCGAAATGAAAAATGAGAAGCGCATCCCCATGATGGCTTAGAACCGAAAAGGAAATACACAAAAACTCGTTACAAGTCATTAGTGAAGGAAAAAAAGGAGGAAGAAAGTTATCCGCCACTGCAAAGTGCCTAGCAAGAGTCCTTCCACCAGTACAGACTAAAACAAAAGAAATTATGTAAAATGAGAAGTATCCTGAGATAGCCGGGAAGTTTGAGCCAGTGAGAATTCTAACCAATCAGATTGAGCAGCTTTGACAACTATGTGAACTGGGGTGAGTGAGTGTTGAAAAACCCATGTATTTCTTGTCTTCCAAAGCCACCACAAAAGATATGTCGTGAGTTGTATCCTGTGTTCATCAATTTCTGAGTGACCTATGAGACATAATTGTTGCCACCAATGTTTAAAGGAGGATTTATATTGATCAAGACCATCCCAAGATACAGGGGATATTTCCCACAATCTGTTTGCCCTAGAACAGAGAAACAAGACATGCTCAACAGTTTCTTCATTTTCACCACAGTAGCTGCATGTAGTATGCACATCTATTCCTTTTTTCTTTAGATTTGTTAGGACAGGCAAAGCCCCTGATAAACATCTCCAGATGAAAAGCTTTACTTTACCCAGAACCTTTAAGGACCAGGTTCTTTTAAGAGTTGATTTCCATGCCAATGCCTGTGTGCTGCTCTGTGGTATATCCATCTGAAGCACCTTCTGCTGAATGAGATGCTTGTATGTGCTAGAGACAGAAAATTTCCCTTTTTTATCTAATCCCCAATAGAATTTGTCTGAACTAAGAGGATTCAATGTTTTGATATTTAAAATGGCATTACTGTCTTCAGAACAGAAAAGTTTGCTTACCAACCATTCGTTCCAGTTCAACCCATCCTCAGTGAGAAGTTCTTTGACATAAATAATATGACCTCTTGCTATTGGTAATAATTCAGGATGGGATTTTGTAAAATTTGGAATCCAGTTTTTATCCTCAATTCTGGTTTGTGCTCCATTTCTTATTTCAATTTTCAGCCATTTTGTAAAGACAGGAAGAACATCCATCCATGAATTCCATAGCCAAGAGCCTTTTTGTGATTTAGTAGCATGAAAGATGGAAGTATGAGGATAATACCTGTCTTTTAGGATTCTGCTCACTAACAGTTCTGGCTGAGTGGTTATTCTCCAAAGCTGTTTACAAAGAAGAGCTTCATTGAATATTTTTAAGTCTATAAAACCAAGCCCTCCAGAGAGTTTGGGAATTGAGAGTTTTTTCCAGCTTTTCCAATGCAAATCAGCTGAGCCATCCTCTTTTCTGTTCCACCAAAACTGAGCACATAATCTAGAAATATCATTACACAGTGAAATTGGAAGTTTAAAGCAGGACATAGGAAATATAGGAAGAGCCTGAATAACAGCCTTAAGTAAAACTTCCTTTCCAGCTTCAGATAACAATTTGGATTTCCAGTTTTGAAGTTTCTGCCTGACTGAATCCAGTAAATATGCAAATGTCTCAGTTTTTGATCTTCCTATTCCAAGTGGTAAGCCCAAGTAGTTAATTAATTAATTAATATCTGTAAAGTAATTAAATGATATGATTTAACTAAACACAAGTGTACCATAATCATGGTTATCTTTTTTACGAAAATTTAATGCAAATTAAAACTCACCTAAAGAAAGTCCTAAAAAACAGGATTCAAAAGCGTTAGACGTTTTAAACGAACTCGTTAGCAAAAATAGTCCATAAATGAGATACGCTTATTTATTAATTTGAGCCATAACAAATCGAGATATAGAAAACTAAATACAAATTCTTATTTTCAAGTCTTAACGAGTCAAGCTTACGAACGCTTATTTCGTTTAACAGCTTTAACAATGCCACACGTGCTTTATTATTGTTGGATCACATGTTTGTAAAAGCGTGTGATCCAATAATAAAAAAACAATGTAGTAAAATCGAACTTACCGTTTCAGACTATTTAAAGAACCATATTGAATGTATCAATATTCAATAGTCAAACTTGAGAGGATGAATTCAAATGACTCATTAATTTTGGGTAATAAAGAGATAGAGAGTAAATATATGGCAGCCAAAATGACATTATTGATCCGTGTATTTTATTACAAGTTTAATATTTTTTTATTTTTTTTTAAATACGAGTCTATTAAATGAAAGTGTTTTTCATTGCAAAAAGGGCAAAAATAAAAAGGAAAAAAAGATGATTCGGCCAGTTCACAAAGAATTCAAAATTGCAACTGAATTCCAGCAAATCATGGGCAGGCCCATTTTTTGCACTGGGTTTGGGCCCACGAGCATGTGACCCATGTGTGCCATGATTAAATTATTTTATTTCACTTTCATATTTTTACATAGCCAACATTTATAAAACTCGTACAAAAATAGCATAAACTGAATTTGCAGAATTGAAAATACTGATCATGCGTGTGAGTGTTACAATATATTGTCTTAATCCCAAAATAACAAAATTCAGATGAATAATCTACGGCCAACATGGGAAAATGTTGTGCTTCAATTATAGTTTACTTTTACTTGTCAATTTAGGTTGTATATAGTAACTTTTGTTTTTTTTTTTTTTCTCCATAATCCAGACAAAATTTGCAAAAAATTCGTAACAACCCTCGGTTATAGAAATAAATGTGACATTCATTTTATTCGGGTAGAATTTTCTGCAAATAGTTAGTAGTGAATAATTATCGATATAACGTGACATAGAAAAGATAATAGCATCAAGTTGAAATTTTATTTAAGTTGGCCGTAGATCAACAACTCGTCCATTAAAGTTCGCATCAAAGTTTGTAGTCCAATAGAATAGTGACTTATAAAGTAGTATGTGAGAAAATGAAAAATGTAAATCATACTATATATAACATTGTTTTTTGTATGTTACACATAAAAATTCAAACAAATAAAAGCTTATTAATCTCAAATATATTAAAGTGTGTTAGGAAATTTTTCAACTGAATTATTTCATCAAGCTAATAATCAAGAATCCAAAAATTCCTTTTATATTTTTTATTTCCTTTTTAATTCTTTCTTGAAAATAATTAAAAAAATTGGCCACCTAACAAAGGTTTTGATCGAATTGAATGCACAAGGACAATGGTACCAATGTGAAGTCATCAATCATCCAATTTTTATATTATTTATTTCCCAAAAAGAATAAAATTAATGGAAATCGTTGCAAATAACCCTACTCGGCCCTAAGGGCCCGGCCCCTACCCCCAAATGCATGGGGTTAAAATATGCGCAAAATTGCGTTGTGGCCCCGCATTTTACCTAATTACCAAAACGACTCCATTTATTTATTTGCTTGTGCATGCTGTGGGTACACAAATAATACGTGAAGGTCACTATGATTATGATTAATAGACTCATTAATTAAATGAGCCTACATTATAATTCATGCATGACTAATCTTATTTTTTCTGTATTGAAAAATGTATTGATATAAAAATACGAATTTCCCATGAGGTCGGCTCGACTCGACTCCGTTAAAGCTTAAANCAAAGACTAAGAATAAGTAAATGCAGATAGAAATAACTTAACTCTCAAAAGCACACAAGAAGCTACCCATAACACAAATATTGGAAGTGCCACAAAGGGAACACAATTGTTTTTTTTTTAGAAAAAAAAATATCTCTCCCAAAAAACAAAAATAAAAAACAATAAAATTAAAGCTCAATTCTAGTGTAAATGTGCAATCAATCCCTTTGTACTTTTTTCTCCCCCCTTTTATACTATAAATTAATCCCCAATTAGTTGAAGAATCTCATAAAAACCCCCCAACTTTTACTTTATGTAGCAACACTCACATTCCTTCTTAGTTACTCTTCTTACTCTACTTTAGTACCCAACTGCCATACACATCCTCATTATGACCAATATGGAACAAAACCACCACCCACAATTTTCCTCCTCCTCCACCACCGCCGCCGCTGAATCCACCGGCACCGGAAATCTGGCGGCGGCGGGCACCGCCGGAGAAGAGCCGAGCTACCGAGGGGTCCGGAAGCGGAATTGGGGCAAGTGGGTGTGTGAAATCCGGGAGCCGAGGAAGAAATCGAGGATATGGCTGGGAACTTACCCGACGGCCGAGATGGCCGCGCGTGCCCACGACGTGGCGGCCCTCGCCGTCAAGGGCCCGTCGGCCTTCCTCAACTTTCCCCACCTGGTCGGCCGCCTCCCCCGGCCGGCCTCCGCAGCGGCAAAGGACATCCAGGCGGCCGCCGCGGAGGCGGCGGCGGCCACCGATCTGGACGGGCCGACCGGGCGCCAGGCGTCGAGCTCGGACTCGTCGACGGATTCTGCCTCGGACGCGCGAGCGGGTGATTGGACGGCGGCGGCCACCGAGATGGACGGGCCGATGGGGCGCCAGGTGTCGAGCTCGGACTCGTCCACGGATTCGGTCTCGGACGCGCGAGAGCCGTCGGATTGCGCGATTGATTGGACGGCGGACGACGACGACACGTTTTTCGACCTGCCGGATTTGGGGGTGTCCGCGTGTGGTACTCACGGCGTGGATGGGTTCTGTTGCTACGCGCCCACGTGGCTGGATCCATTTTCGTGGGATGATGATTAAGTGTGATTAGCTATAGAGTAATAAGTTAATTGATTAAAACTTTTTCTTCTGTTTTAACTTTTTTAAAGGAAAATCCAACCTGTCAAATGAAATATTGACTCATTAAAAGAAAAGGTTAATTAGTTTTGTTCAATCAATATTCGTCAAATAACAAATTAGTGAGGAAATTAAACTCAGCATACAATGGTACAATACATCATTATTCAATAATCAATACTCATTAAATAACAATAAATTGTTCATATTTTAGCTGTTCACATGGAATATAAAAATCACGGGCAAATTCAATTCATTCTACAGTCGCATCATGCATACTCTGTAACTGTATTGATTTAATAGTAAAAAAATATGTATTGATTTAAGTTTTAAAAAAAAAAAAAAACTCGAATACACGCACTTTCGAAAATCAGGAGATAAAATCTCATGTCATTATCAATTCTGAATAGACGTACCGCAAAGGCACTACATTTGTCTGGTCTAGGAAAAATTAAACTCAATATAATATTTATTATAAAATTCTACTTGATTTTTATTCTAGGGTCATGATTTATCAATTATTAATCCTATTATTTTTTTTATTCATTTTTATTTGTAGACTTATTTATCTCGATAGCGAGATGTGATCTCAGCACTCACTAATATTCGCTTATTAGTCTACTCGTCAATCATATAGTCTTCTTATAATCATTTTGGTCCCAGCCAACCCAATTCTTGCCCAAATATTTATAATAGCTTAATTAAATATGTTGATTATTTTTCTAAGCCAAAATTAGGAGCCAATCAAACACCTACAGTTAGCTTGAATAAAACGATCAGCAAGGAAATTTCGTTGTGAGCCGGCATAATTATTAGATGTATCGACTCATTATAATTTTTTAAATAAAAATGCATGAATCTTTTATAATAATATCATAATTTAGTTATGCTACTTTTTAAAGTATGTCATTTAAAATTGCGGCACAGTTACATGAAATATTTTAATTATTACTTAACCATTTGAATTTAATTTAGACTTTATCTGACAAAGGGACCATAGGTGATAGGAAATGAATTGAGCTTCAAATCATTCTACAGATACGTGCATGAACATAAACAGTACAGACACTATACGATTTATTAATTTTGAACTAAATTAAATTAATTGATCATTAAGGCAAGAGTAGTTGGTTAATTCTTGAAAATATGATGTGAATCCTTTTCCTTTTCCCTTTTCGTTTTTTACTTCTTTTCCTTATTTCCTTTAAATTTTGTGTACGAAGAATATTTTAATGTCATAGAGCAAGACGAAAGCTACACTACAATCTATAATTGCATACGAATAACGTTGCGCAAGAATGATATTGAACGTATTATGTTTATATGGGCTACTGTTTTTATTATTTTAATTATTTCTTTAACTTGTTTATATTTAATTTTAATTATTTTGAGTTGTATTATTTTGATCACGTATTTACTAATATATCACAAATAAATTTATAATATGATTTAGAGCAGTACCAAAGTATTAATTTGGGAAAATATATATTTTCAAATTACTAAATAGTAAATTGAATAGTACATAAAAATAAAGATTTTTGTCAAATAATATGTCAAATAATTAACAGCATATATGTACCGCCAAAATTGTGGAAACTTTTATTTTTATAAAATGATATGTCTAATTATATTATTTTGACACTAAAAATAATTCCAAATAATTATAACAGAAATAGAATATTTTGTATAAAGTGTAAGCGTACAATTTAATTTTTGCTCCACTCTACTCTAAAATACTCCCTCTGTTTCGTTTTAAATGTCGTTGTAGGGTGTCAACTTTTTTGCAAATTAATTGTCGTTGGAAATATTATATTCATTCTTACATCTTTATTCTCTTTAACAAACATTAACTCTTATCATTATCTTTAAAAACCATCCATTAATAATTCAAAAATTAAATTTAATAAGATTAAAAAATAAGATTATTACACAACCCATTAAAATCATAATTTAGAAGTTTTAAATTAAAACGACATTTAATAAGAAACAGATGGAGTAATAAACTGTGTATAGAGATGGGTTGGAGATGCGTTACTTATTTAACTTTGTTAGGGTTGATTACATATAAGTGATCTTTACCAAACATTTCTTGTGTCCTCAACAAGAATCTTTTTCTTTTTAAGGTGTTTTTTCATCACTACTATTTTTTTAATTGTTTATTCATTAATCCATAATAAAAGTGGGTGTTAAGAAAAGGAAGAAGAAGAAAAATAAGTTGGAAAGAAATATGTGCAATTGCTTTCTACACAAATATGTAGTGAGAGATATACAGCTACTTTTATGCATGTTATATCTTTAGAAAACTTTTTTAAGGGGCTGATAATGAAATCAAAGGCACTGGAGCACGCTGTACATGAATCACATTGCAATTTAATATTTTTCTAAACTCAGAGTATGCTTACGTGTAAATAATATAATTGTTTTATGATCAAGAACTTTAATTTTGAAATATTTTATTGCATGGTTATTTAATTAGTAGGGACAACATGCTTAAAAAAAAAGTGTTTCTGTGATGTAACATAAGATGCCAATTGCTTTGCTCTTTGATAGTGTCTTTACTAATATTTGTTATTAATATGACCTTGTTTGAGTTAAAGGCCTCATAATTTTCTAGTCAAATATGTCCCAGTTCATAATTAAATCTATTAACCTCATATAGGCATAGAGGAAACACAAACGAAAAGGACAGGTACGTAGAAGAAAATGAAACTAAAAATAATTAAATGAAATGAATAACTCAAACAAGGTCATATATATAAATAACAATTATTTCACCAAAAAAATGTAAAATAAATAAAACCTCTTTATTAGAACTATTATTTGTGCAATTCAATTTGCAAAGTGAATAAACTCGTCAATTAAGTTCAATCATAATTCTATTTATTATGAAGAAAACAGTACACACACAGGAAAATAATTAATTATTAGTACTCTGTTGTTTTCAGTAATAAAGCTTAAAATTTACGGCATTTTTGTTTAAACATATATCCCATTTCTTTTTTTTCCATGTTTTCGCAATTTCGTTTTTGCTTGGTTGTAGGCACTCTTCAAATGATAGAGATTTTATATTTTGATTGGAACTTTTCACATGATTAAGGTACATATTAAAAAATGAGAAACATAAATTGCTTATGTAATTATTGATTAGCACTTTTAAAATTGGGAATTTTTTTTAACCTATCAAAGTATGTCATTTTTTATAGTTTGCCATATAATTTTTTATTTTTTTTTCAATTTGCCTCCTAATGTAATCAAAACTGACAATTTATCTCCTCGATTGAAAACCCTAATATGACACAAAATAGTTTTTACCTCAATTAGTGATAAATTGTAGATTAATTCTTAAAATTGATTTAGGGCTTTTAAAGCTCATGGCGAGACGAACAAAATGAAGTATGATTTGTTGAATTCTTAAAATTGATACCTCTGTAATCGATCCACGAAGATAGTAGGAGGAGCACGTGTGTATAGAAAAAATTTCAATTTAAGTTTTCTGATAATCAAGATAACCGATTTTCGATTGAGAGGTGTCATTTGAAAACTAGTAGAACCAATTTTCTAACATGTAAATCTTATGAAAATCAAACGGTCAGATTTTGATCAGTATTACTGATCAATAGTTAGGCTTTTTTTAGGCTACTAACCAAAATCTGACCGTTGGATTTTTATAAGATTTACTTTGATAGAAAACTCGTCCTTCAAACTTTCAAATGACACCCCCAATCAAAAATCGGATATCTTGATTATCAGAAAACTTGAATTGAATTTTTTTCTGTACACACGTGCTCCTACTATTTTCGTGGATCGATTTTAGAGGTATCAATTTTTAGAAATCGACAAACCATAATTTTGTTCGTCTCCCCATGGACTTTAAAAACTCTAAATTAATTTTAAAGATTAATATAAAATTTATCATTAATTGAATTAAAAACTCTTGTGTCATATTAGGATTTTCAATCGAGGAGGCAAATTGTCAGTCTCTATTACATTAGAAGGCAAATTGTAAAAAAAAAGTTTATATGGTAAACTTTAAAAAATAGCATACTTTGGGAGGTTAAAAAAAAATTTTCCTTTAAAATTATAGGATTTTTGTATAAGATGGATAATGAACGTAGACTCACAGTTCATTTGTGATACATTGTTAGCCTTTTCCCAACTTAGAGGTTGTGATATATAAATTTCGTGTAATATAAATTGCTTAAAAATGATTTTTTTTTTTTTCATATTATCCTATTAAATATTGTGTTTAATCAAATTGTGCATCAACGTGACATTTTGCCAAGATTCCAGACAGGGCCAACCAATTATCAAAAGCTATTCATACACACCAATACATATGCATATATAATTGAATTTTGTCACATGGATGTGCATTTAATTTTGAGAGAATTGGAGAATCCTATGTTAATGTTCCATGGGCTTGTTTAAAAATCATGTTCTGGACTATTTTCTTTTTTTAATCGTTTGTAAATATACGCATATTAAAATTTGTGGCTAGCTTGTAACATGATAACGGATTATATTAGTCATGTATCGATGTGATTTGAAGATTTTACACATAGGATTATGATTATAGTTGTCACATTATATTGTTTGGAATTCATGAATTTCAGACCATCTACAAGACCATTGATTTATAATCATTTATCCTTGATTTGAAAATAGTAAGATTGTTGTTTGTCAGTCATACTTATTCAACAAATATGCATACTTTTGAAGTAAAATGTCATAATATAAATATAACATAGAAAAAATATGATCATTCATAGTATAAGTTGTTAAAACTTTGACAGGTTAATTGACTATGACTTATAAAAAAAAAATTGTGAATTTAAAAACATTGGGACTTATTTTATAGTGGAAAATTGACTAAAAGCCATAGGAAATAAAGGCATAGTAATAAGTATGTCCAAGAACTTGGGAATAAGCCCATAGAAAGCGGTCAGCCAGCCAGCCAATCAGTG